CATACTAAGACTTATCTACAGCCAAGATGGTAAAATGGACATAAAATGTTGTGGCTTCAAAGGTGGTTTGATTTTTGTTGAAAGGACAGAATGGCTCTTCTTCACATTTGGGTTGCGACCTCTGTTATAGTACTATGGTAATATGCAACACTTTGGGTGCCCATAGTCTTTTTAGTTTTGTTGATTTTCAAAATAATAAAATAAATGATCACATCCTCTATGGAGAACACACTTCTGAACATTTTAATGTACAATTACTGCTCCATTTAACATACTGCAGGAAAAAATGAAACCTGCAAAATATATGGTACATTTGACACTTCATGCTTCATTTTGTGCACTAAAAATTCCATATTTAATTTTCTGTATGTGATGTGTAACTTTTTTCACTTCACTTTGATCCGGGGTGTTCAAGCTTTTGCATACTGCTGTAGGTGTACAATTACAGACTGTAGTCTGTACCATTCACCCCCCAAAAACATTTAGCCAAGAGTGACTCCCGTGGACAGAAACTGGCCATTGATGAAATGCAAGAGAACAAACGAGGCTTGTGACATGCCATCGTCCGTTTGTGCCCCCTAGCTCTGGCAGATTGGGGACAGTATCGTGGTGGGAGGAAAGCAAGAGTCACTCTCCAAAAAAAATATTTAAAAACAGCCGTTGAGTGTGTCAGGGTGAGTTTTACTTGTGGAAAAAAGGAACTGTGAATATTGACTGAGAGGATTCTCCTAACCCTAATTTACTCAACTGATGTCTACTGCACTTTTCTCCAGTGATTTGTGTTAGCACAGCAGGTTTTCTCTTGGAAGTATTTTTACTGTAGAACAAATCAGAATGTTTGGAAACATGAATGTTGGCTGTACTGCTGGGTGGATAAACGCATCCAGTGAGCGGTAGAAGCAGCTCTTCTCACTGAAATAAACATATGGCCATCTCTTACTGTGCTAAGCTAGTCTGTACTGTTTGTAGCCTGTTATTGTGATTATTCTATTAGGCTTGGCTTTGTGTCTTTAGATGTATTAAACTGTGTTTAATTCAAGACTCGATTTGAGATTCAACAGCTTGTCATACGCACAATTCTTACTCAATTCTTACTTAAAGAAAATGGTTCTATATAGAAACATGAACACTCAAAGACCCTTTGCATGATTAAAGGGTTCCTTGCATCATAAAGTTCTTCAGATTGAACTTTTTCGAAAGGGTTCTATTTAGCCCCAAGCTTGTATCGTAACAATAGAAGAACCCTTCTTGGTGTTATATAAAACCTTTTTAAAAAAGGTTCCATATAGAACCATAAACCACACATTCTCCATCAATCTGAAGAACCATTTAAAAATGCCAAGAACCCTGCATGGTGAAGTGGTTCTTCAGATTGACGGAGAATGTGTTGTACATGGTTCTGTAGGGAACCTTTTTGAAATCGGTTGTATATATTACAATATGGATCTATAAAGAACCATTTTCCTTACTAAAGAACCCGACATCGTAACAACAGCAGAACAGTTTTTGATGCTGTATAGAACATTTTTCTAAATATGGATCTACAGCACATTCTCCACCAATCTAAATAAGCATTTCACTATGCAAAGAGCCCTTAAGTCATGCAAGAGGTTCTTTGAGTGTTCATGGCTCTATATAGAACCAGTTCTTTTCTAAAGGACCCTTGAAGAACCATCATTGTGTACTTTCAAGACCAGTTTCAATGTAAACAGAACTTTAGCAGAGTTCATGTTAGTGGTCAGGGACTTTCCTCCACTTTAGCTGGGTATTAATAATGAGATGTATTGGCTCATGTTTTAGTGAATGGAAGCCTCGGGCAGTAGAGAACAGATCGGGTCTAAATGTTGGCTGATCTGAGTGAGTATGAGGATTTGAATATGCGTGATGGGGGGGATATACGCGGAGGGCTCGGTAGAGTTGATTTAAGAGATTGTGTATTTACACTGGAATCTCACACTGGACTGCTGTTAATGAATCAGTCTGTCTGATGTTGAATGAGGAAGAGAAAACGCTGCCGTAAGACTGTAGGATTAGGGTATATTGTATTGTACACTCTAAGATGGTTCTTCAAGGGTTCTTTAGTAAAGAAAATGATTCAATATAGAACTATAAACACTTGAAGAAACTTTTGCATGATTATATGATTCTTGGCATCGTGAAAGCATTCTTTAGATATGATGGAGAATGTGTTTTATATGATTCTACATAGAACCTTTTTGAAAAGGGTTCTATATGGCATCAAAAAGGTGCCAGATAGAACCATATACAACACATTCTCCATCAATCTGAAGAACTATTTTACCATACAAAGAACCATTTAAGCATGCAGATGGTTCTATAAGGCACCAAAAAGTTTTATTCTTGTGTTACTAGTCATTGACATCATAACAATAGCAGAACCCTTTTTGGTGCTGTATAGAACCATGTCCAACACATTCTCCATCAATCTAAAGAACAATTTCACCACCAAACCATTTAATGTTAATGGTTCCATATAGAACCATTGTGTTTACAAAAGAACCCTTGAAGAACCATCTTTTTAAGAGTGGTTATTATATAGTTTTGGGTTTGTTGATGATTTCAGTGAAACTTTACATATTAAACTGTTTGGATATGTTGGTACAATGTCTTCAAATTAGCGCTGGGACAATTTTGGGCAAATTTGGAAGATCAATAAATCTATAAAGAGCTCCTGTAAAATCAATTAATCTAAATCTATAAACAATTCCTGTTTATTTATTTTTGCAAAATATTTCTACCATTTTTTCAGACCAGGTCGGAGCTGAATAGATCACTAAAGCTGCCTTTATGTTCAGGTTGCTCTTATAGTTTGTTTTAGTTGTTTTGTTGTAGTTCATTGCATTTTTTTTAACAGAATGGGCCGTTACCCAGCAAAAATGAGCTTTACTGCTCAATGGATCCATTGATTTCTTCCCTTTTGTCTTTTTCCCTTTTTTAATTAAAAAAAGCACATTTGACTTGTGAAGGTTACTGTGCCTTGAACATCGCTTTTTCATCCATAAAAATCAGATCTGATGTTTAAACATAAAACTCTAATTCAGAATGAAAAAAGGTGCTTTTTATGCTGTTTTCGCTGCGTCGCAGTGTTGCACTCACTAATGTTGTGGCTCACAGAGCAGCTCGCTGCAGCGTGTGCAGAAGTAAAGCCAGGACTAGAGTATTGGATAACAGAGCAAAGCATTCATGCATACTAAATGGAAAGACAAAAAAAATTACTTATGATTTTATGGCTGTTATCAAAAAACCAATAAATGATCCTAGCCCTCCTTAATAAAGAAAGGCTTTGCCCAAATGAATCTGTAAACATGTTTACATGCATCCTCCAGTGGTCCTGCAGTGTCTCTGGAGTGAGATTTTCTGGCTTTAAGATGAGCAAAACCCCTTTCTAATGATCTTAAAGGTGGGAAGAACTTCGAATGCTTTGGGGTGCTTTTTTGAGAGCTGTTTTGAAGTGTTTATTTGTTTGTATATCTTATTGGAGCTGCATAATTGTAGTAACTGTCTTTGAATAATCATTACAGTGGAGAGAATGGATTACTTAAGCGACTGATGAGATAGACAAACTGCAGTTAGCAAGTTTGGCTATTTAGATATCTTACTTCTTTTTCTCCTACTCAAAGTAAAAACTCCTCTCTTGTGTCCAGTTTGTGCTGAATGAAGTCTAAATTGCTGTTTTCTTTATGATTTTGTTCAACAACAGACATAAGAAGTGCACTAACACTAGCTTGGTTGCATTTATTAGCCTGTATCTCAGTGACTACACTCTTAAAGATGGTTCTTCAAGGGTTCTTTAGTAAAGCCAATGGTTCTATATAGAACTACAAACACTCAAAGAACCTTCTGCATGCTTGAATGGTTCTCTGCATGATGAACTGGTTCTTCAGATTGATGGAGGATGTGCTGTATATGGTTCTATATAGCACCAAAAAGGGGTCTGCTGTTGTTATGATGTCAAGCTTGTAACAGAAGAAGAACTGGTGACCTATAGAACCATCTGCATGCTTAAATGGTTCTTTGCATGGAGAAATGGTTCTTCAGATTGTTCTATGTAGAACTTTTGAAAAGGGTTCTATATAGCACCAAAAAGGGTTCTTCTATTGTTATAAGCTTGACATCATAACAAGAGAAGAACCCTTTTTGATGCTCCATAGAACCATATCTAACACATTCTCAATCAATCTGGTGAAATGGCTCTTCAGATTGATTGAGAATGTGTTAGATATGGTTCTTTGAATGTGTTAGATATGGTTCTTTGCTATAGAACCCTTGATGAACCATCTTTTTTAGGATTGTGGGCTAGAAGTCATAATTAGTTGACACCACAGGGATTCCTAGTTTGTTTTTTGTGTATTTCTGTAGTGTATTTGCACAAATAACACATTAAACTCCACCTTAGGGCCCAAATCCCTCATTAAATTTGCAAAAGAATAAGAAGTATGTTAATGTACAGAGGCATTGGTTAGCCTTCAGACTGGTAAATCATTTATTTCAGGCTCAACATTGGATTAGCTGATGAATTAGCAACATTTACAGACAAAAAATAGGTAAAAACGGCGATATTTCAAGGCCATGACCAAAAATGAACCTGCTAACCTATTTCTGAATCAAGGTAACAGAGCAATAAACAGCGACAAACCATCTTAAAGCTTTTATTCTGGCCCAAATAAAGACCGGCTGTATTTAGAAGAGAGAGAAACAGAGAGGGCTACTGAATCATACACAAATAGCTGGAGGTTTCATGTGAACAAATGTGACATTGAAAAGATGCAAATTTGTATTTGTCCTGATTGCATGTCCCCCCCTGAACTCAACCCCTCTGTTCACTCGCCCTCTGCATTTGTACAGAAAATAAAAATTCAATAATTTGATGTTGTCCACCCCCACAGGCCGCTAACCTTGGAGGTCAGTGATGCACAATGCATTTCATAACACAACCTTCAGCGCCGAGTGTGGCTCCAATTAAAAATGATATCTCTTACCTGAAATAATGGAGGCGAGCCGGAATTCATCGGAGAAATGCATGGGCTCATAGGGGGACGTCTCGTAAAGCTCCTCTCCTGCAACGTAAACAAGCAATATTAGAGAATAAAAAGGCCAAGAGAGCCCCGAGAGACTGTAACAGGCTCTGTTTGTGCAAATTAAAACAAATTTCTCACAAATGAACCAGATGCTACCTGACTTTAGAGATTAATTCTGCAAAAAAGATAAAAAATAAAATAATTTAAAAAATCGATGCTCAGAATAAACCTATTCCTCCTTGTTCCTCTAAACAAAGACTTTTCCAGGAGTGCGTCTGTTCCCAGAGCACTGGGGCTTAGCAGCCATATGACCAGAGCCAGAGTGGCAGAAAATCTCAAATTAGTCCCTCTGTGGTGGATCCTGTGCTGGACTTTTAATCTAGCATTCATAATCCAGGGCTAATCCCAGGTCTACACAGCAGCTCTGCTGATCTGAGGAAGGAACGCTCAACTTCCTTTGGACTGATATGATGTTTCTGTGTTAGGGCTGCATGAAATGGATGAAGTAGCATATCAGCAACTATACTGCAATACAGTGATTGCGATATGCCTTGTGAATCTTTGAGCTCACAGCTAATCAATTTGATGAACAGTTCATTGGCTTTTGATTCGATTCAAAGGCAATTTTTGTGAATTATGAACGATTTGATTCAGACATTTGATTTCATGATTCAGTTCAGCTTTAAGAATTACTATGAATTAAAATTATTGATATAATACAATAAACTTAAAGACTTTCCCTAATACTTCTCAGGCAAAACGTTGATCAGTCAGATTACTTCAGTAATGTTTATTACAAAAGAGGAATATGCTCTAAATACACTGAATTAGCTGGACGCAGACCGTACTGTTCTACACAAGATAAACAATAACAAAAAACAGAAATGTTCACTAATGATGATACACACAAGTCAGAGATGGCATGAAAATTGTTCGATTCCTGGCTGGGTGACCAGGGTCATTTCTGTGTGAAGTTTGTATGTTCTCCCCGTGTCTGCGTGGGTTTCCTCTGGGTACTCCGGTTTCCTCCCACAGTCCAAAAACATGCAGTCAGGCTGATTGGACGTGCTAAATTGCCCCTAGGTGTGAATGTGTATGTCTGTCTGTCTGTCTGCCCTGCGATGGACTGGCGACCCGTCCAGGGTGTATCCTGCCTTCCGCCCAGTGACAGCTGGGATAGGCTCCAGCACCCCACAACGACCCAGAAGGATAAGCGGTTTAGATGATGGATGGATCTCTGAAATCATTTGTCTGGTTTTAAGAAGCTGAAACTCGGTCAGGAACCCTGTTTAAGTTGAACATGCTTTGTGCAACAGGCCGCTAGAGCTCTCTATACAAAAACAAAGTCACCCAGGACTAAAAAAAACTGACACCTGCAGCAGAAAAACAGAGAGCAAAACTTGTCACTCCTATAGAAAGCAATTAGTAAAAAATGCAGCGTGCAAAAGCACACAATCCCTAAAGCCTTGGAAACATTAGATGTCTCTAAAGACTTTAAAGAGATTATTAAAAGACTGAGAATCTCACACTATTTTTGGAGTCTAATACATCAAAATGACAAAATGCAGTTCTTCCTGAACTGAACCAAACTCATTGATGTCACAACAATGACTAAACTATACTACATTTTTGCAAAATATTACCTAGGTATCTTGTAACAATGATGTATTATACCAAAATAATTTCTTCCTCAAAATAGAATAATTCATGATTTCAACATATTATCTATATATCAAGAAAATATGTCATTACTTTGAGATGTTAAGTCAATTATTTGGGGACATCAGCCAATATTTTGATAAAATCAATCATCATTTCAAGATATTATGTCAATTATTTGAGGAAATGTCATTATTTCAAGATGATATTTAGAAAAACTCATTTTTTGACATTAAGTAAATTATTTGAGACAATAAATCATTATTTTGTCACAATAACTCAACATTTGGAGCAAATATTTCCAAGTTTTGAGATGGTAAATTCTTTGAGAAAAAAAAGTCATAATTTGGAGATGTCAGTATTTAAAGAAAATTAATCATTATTTTTAGAGATTAAGTCAGAAAATGTGTTAACTTATAAATATCAAAATATTAGTAAACTATTTGAGAAAATAATTTGATATACAACCCCATTTCTGAAAAAGTTGAGATGCTGTGCAGAATGTAAATAAAAATAGAATGAAATGATGTGCAAATCATGACAACATATCATATGTTGAAACTCAGAAACTTTATTGTTTTTTTTAAATATATGCCCATTTTAAATTTGATGCCAACAACACATTTCAAAAAAGTTGGGATGGGGGCACGTTTACTACTGTGTTTGATCACCTCTTCTTTTAGCAACACTCTGCAATTGTTTGGGAACTGAGGAGACCAACTGCTGTAGTTTTGAAAGTGAAATGTTTCCCTGTTCTTGTTTGATACAGGATTTCAGCTGCTCAACAGTTCAGGGGCTCATTTGTCATATTTTTCACTTCATAACCCTCCACATGTTTTCAGTGGTGACAGGTCTGGACTGCAGGCAGGTCAGTTTAGCACCCGGAATCTTTTAATACGGAGCCATGCTGTTGCAATACATGCAGAATGTGGTTTGGAATTGTCTTGCTGAAATAATCAAGGCCTTCCCTGAAAAAGATGTCGTCTGAATGACAGCATATGTTGCCAAAACATGTATTATATCATTCAGCATTAATGGCTCCACAGATGTGCACGTCACCCATGCCATGTGCACTTGTATACCATCATGAATACTGGCTTTTTGAACTGTGCACTGATAGCAAGCTGAGTGGTCTTTAGCCTTGAGGACACAGTGTCCATGATTTCCAAAAAGAATTTCAAATGTTGATTCGTCGGACCACAGGACACTTTTCCACTTCTCCTCAGTCCATTTTAAATGACCTCGGGCCCAGAGAAGGTGGCAGCATTTCTGGATCCTGTTTATATATGGCTTCTTCTTTGCGTTTTAGAGTTTTAACTTGCATTTGTGGATGCAGTGATGAACTGTTTTCATAGACAGTGGTTTTCAGAAGTGTTTCTGAGCCCATGCAATGATTTACACTACAGAATCATGTCTGTTTTTAATGCAGTGCTGCCTGAGGGCCCAAATACTGGCAGCAAATATTGGTTTTTGGCCTTGTCCCTTGCATACAGAGATTTCTCCAGATTCTCTGAATCTTTTAATGTTATTATGTACCGTAGATGATGAAAAACAAAAGTTCTTTGCTATTTTATGTTGAGAAATGTTATTCTTGAATTGTTGCACTATTTGCTCGTGCAGTCTTTCACAGAGTGGTGAACCCCTCCTCATCCTTACTTCTGAAAGACTCAGCCTCTCTGAGATGCTTTTTTATACCCAGTCATGTTACTGACTGTTGCCAATTAACATTCAGTTGTTTTTTTTAGCATTACATAACTTTATCAGCCTTTTGTTGCCCCATCCCAACTTTTTTGGAACATGTTGCTGACATCATATTCAAAATAGGCAAATATTTTTCAAAGAAGCATTTGATTTGTTGTTTTTGTACTATTTTCAGTAAAATATAGGTTTTAAATAATTTACACATCAATGCATTTTGTTTTTATTGACATTTTGCACAATGGGGTTGTATCAAGTCAATTGTTTGAGAAAATGTCACTTTGTGAAGACATTATATTAAGATATTAAATCAGTAATTCAAGAAAAGTGATTGTATTGAGATAAGACTTCATTATACTGAGATATTATGTTGATTTTTCAAGAAATTAAGTCCTTATTGGAGAAACTAAGCCAATATTTTGCTTTACTGTGCCAGAACTGGAGAAGGAGAAATAAAAACAGGTGATTGTTTCTATCCTCTACCTGGAGGGAAGGAGCTTACATATTAATGTGAGCTGCAGCCTTTGCGGTACGGCTGAGTGGTTGTGAGGCCAGAGATTAACACTTGTGGGTGGCGCGACCCCGCCACGGTGCCACGCTGACACGCCAGGTGCATCCTGCCCTTCACCCTGCGAGCCATTTCCCACAATGCACCACTCCCAACATCCTCCCACCCAGGATGGCAGCCACCCGGGCTCAGGACCCTTTGGTCTCTCCTGGACGTTTGTGTTCTCCCTGAATGGACCCCCTGCCCGCCGCTCTTTTTCAAGGATCATCCTGGATCAGCTTTATCTGCAGCTTCTGCCACTCAGTGCCGCCACCTTCATGAGCCGCACTGCACGCGCCTGCTCAAAGAGTTAATCCACCAAACACCGGCCTAATCCCTGCCCTGCACAGCCCCCACCCCCCCCCACCACCACCACCACAGCGCGTCTGCATGGGGAAAATAGAGCAGTGGTCCAAATGGGGCAGCACCATCATGAACACAAAGAGGAAGAGAATAATAGGGCAGATAAACTGAGAGATAGAGGCGTGTGTCCCGTTACACTCACCGGAGATGTGGGTGAGAGGCAGTACATCTGCTTTCACAGAAATGACATACATCAGCTATGAAAGGGTTTGTGACACCTGGATTCTCAATGTTTTTATCACTAGATGGATTCTGGTGTTACGAAGGCCATTGATGCAAATTCAGGGGGGCGGGACATGTCCTCTCCAGGTTTTTTAAATAATGCAATATAATTTTGGTGGGATGATGGTCGAAAAAGCTGCAAAAAGCTGCCAGATAGTCATTATAAAGCCATCAATTACAGGTCAACACTCAGATTCAAGCCAAAACCGATTGTAAAATATTTATAGAAGCATACAGGTAGAAGAAAGTTGTAGGAGGCAAGAAAAACTGAATCTCTATACTAAAAAGGTATATGTTTTAATAACTTGATAATTACTTGATAATAACTATCAATTAATTGATAATAACTTGATTTGTTGGTGTGTTTCAATATGTATGTATACGAGTCTGTCCCAAATCCTAATCCCTAAATTTACACTTGAAAAAATTATTTTCAAAAAAATGTATTTTTAATTTCTTTTAAAGTGACGTTAAAAATGTAGTTTTATCATGAGTTTAACTTTTAAAATAAAAAACTAAAAGTCAAAAAATGCTGTCCCATGTTTTCAAG